ATATATATATATATATATATATATATATATATATATATATATATATATACTTATATATATATATAAGTATATATATATATATATACTTATATATATAAGTATATATATATACTTATATATATATATATATATATATATATATATATATATATATATATATATATATATATATATATATATATATATATATATATATATATTTATAGAGTGAAGTTTTCAAGCTTACTCTGAAATCTTCTAACAAATCCTCATTTCTATCTATTTCTATCAGAGCCAACTCAAGGCATATTGAGCTAAGCTGCTGCTGAGCGCTCTCTGGCCACCAGGGGGCTCCAAACATCACCCTACATAGAAAGCAGATATCAAAATATCCAATTTGTTATGACGTCAATGTTTCAGAACCTCAAACCAACTTAGATATTAGTCAAAGACAAGACAAGTGAACACAAATTAAGTTTTTAGATGAAAGTATTTATTATTAAAGGACGAAAACAAATCAAAACCTATTAACTGGTTAGGCATATAGCAACAAATGCAATCAAGTGTTTGAGATGACAATAAACAAACCTGGGTTAGCAAAGGGAATCTAAGTTAGAACAGTAAAGTTAAAGCTGCAGTATGTAACTTTTATAAATTATAATGTTTTTTTTTTTTTTACATATTTGTTAAAACTTTCACCATGGTTTGACAGAATGTTATGAGACAGATAAACTGTTAAAAATGAGTTTCTCCCAGTCTTCCCAGTGCTCCCAGTGGTAACTAGAAACAACCAATCAGAGCCAGGAGGTGGGTCTTAACGCTGTCAATCACAGACTTTCTCGAGTTTGTTCTCTGTTGTGCTGCAGCTAGCATAGTTAGCCAATTCTGGTGGCTGATAAATGGTTTTCCTGTAACGGAAAGTTGTTTGTTGGCCATTAGTGCATTTAGCAGTGAGTACATTAGAGTGATTGACAGCAGTAAGACCCGCCTTCTGGCTCTGATTGGTTGTTTTTAGTCGGTTTCTTCAGACATCTGTAATTAGTCAGGGAGAAAGTGGAGGAGATTCATCTTTTCACAAATTATCTGTCTCATAGTGACAGTTTTAACAAATATCTACAAAACATATTTTTAAAAAAATAAAAGTTAAGTGCTGCAGTTTCCTTCAGAGGAGTGTTTTTCGGGATCCGTTTCGGCGTCGTGTGTAGCTAATCGACAGGAAAACGGCTAACTGGGAGATTCTGTTGGACCCGTTCCGTCACAAGACTTCAGTCAGCAGACCGTCCTGCTGGTCGGCCTCACGTCTCCTATTACCGCCGCAAGATAACTCAGTTAAATCGGCTCACTGGCTCTCTGTCTCTGCTGCTGACTTTCTCTCATTATCTGCTGACTCTCTCTGCTTCCTGCTGACTTTCAGCCGTCCATTTTCTCTGACTTCCTTGTTTGCATGGGTGTGCAGTGACAAAATGATTACAAAATAACTTAAAACAAGGCAATAATAATAGTAGTAGTAATGGCAATTATAAATAATAACAGCATCAGAATAATTACCAACTCCTTTTCAATGCACACCTATAAATTCTTCTTAATCTATGTTATAACAATAAATAAAATGTAAAAAAAAAAGAAATAATGATGATAATTATAGTAAGATAACAATAATAAGCTAATAAAGTTAATATAAACACAGAAGAAAGAAGAATATTTAAAAGAACAATAAATTATCTACTCATTCTCATAGTTATATACACATTTTTACCCAAAACTTTAACTTTATTTTAAATTTTACTCCCTTTCATGACATTTCAGCAACTTTTCATCTTTATTTTCTTATTTCTAAATGGCACTGAAGCACTTTCATTGTTTAAATTTTTAAAATGTTGAGACAACTTGGGGTTATTTCCTTGATTGCTTCATTTTTAAAGTTTTTGTCACCCTTGTCTGTTCATATAAGTGCAACAGGGTTTTATTTTAACAATATTATAGATGCTCTTGACGGTTGGTGGTTACCATAGTAACTAGTAGCCGAAAGCTCCGCCCCCTTTTTTCTGTTGCCGTTCTGTTACTGCTAGGATCAGCTCGGTGTTTTCTTTTCAAATATTATAGTTTAGTATATATTTTAGACAAATTTAATCATATGCAGTCTTTCATGATTAATTTTGCCTTGTTTTCTGTGTGTGTTTTTTAACTGTTATCATTATTAAAGTTGTCCATTTTAGCTATGTTTAATTTTAAAAATGCTAACTGCTAACTGCTGCTAACTGCCCATTGGGAGCCTTTGCTTTGTAGTTTATTTAGGGTTATTTATTATATTTTATTTAATGTGTAAGGGCAGAAGTTGCTGGACTGATGTTAACCACTAACTTGATTTTCTCTTTTGTTAGAATAAATATAATAAACCTGAATGTCTGTGTCGTGAAGTCAACCTTACTCGTACATCTTCATTTTTAACATGTTTTTCAGCATGTCAGCCATTTACAATTACCTCCAAATTAAATTAGAAACTCCCAGGAGGAGACGCTCACCGCCAGAGTCCCAAACTGGACAAAAAGGAGAAGAGTGAGGAAAAGCTCAGGTGATCCGAAGACAGAAACACTGGACAGAAGACAGAAACCTTTCATCAGATTAATGAGAATATAAAAAGAAGTGAGCAAAAGTAGACTAGAAATCAAATTAGGGAATGAGCAGCAGGTCGCTTCAGATCAAGCTGTTATAGTTGTAGCATCCAGGGAAGAGGTTCCTTCAGCTGCTGTTGGAGAACCGAGCAGAGGGACTTTAAGGAAGCATCATGACTCGTTTACATCTCCTAATTGGACTCCTGAGTTGTCTTCACCTGGCAGGTATGACCTTCACCTCCAGGAGAGTTACATCTAGCAAATATTAGTAGATCTATTCTCTTTTTAACTAAAAAAATTCATCAGCATCATTGGAAACTACTCTTGTGTCAGAATAGGGGACACAAAGAAACGTTAAAATGTTCTTTAAATGTTTTTAAAGGCCTTCATTGCAACTTCTTAGCAGAAATTGGCTTTTTTTTAATGATCCTGTAGCAGAAAAACATGAAGATTGGATTGTTTTTTCTCTGAATTTGAGGATTTGTTTTAGATCACAAAGACGAAAGAAATCTGAATTTACCTGAAATGATGGTTTGTTTGTTGTTGTGTAATTTAACAAGAGACATTTGCACATATGATGAACCGGAAGATTTCAATCGATTTTATAATGGCTTTTAAATAAAATTTTGCGAAGAATTATTTCAAATTGTATTTTTTTTTTTTTTATAATTTACTCGGTTTTGTTTGGAATTAAACTAGGAAGTATTGATTAAGGCTGAAATGTCTTATGTTGGTTTTCTTAATCACTTTAACTGCGATTTAAATGTTGAGAAAATATAGTAAATTTATCTGAAAATATTATGAATTTTTGTAAATCACACATTATACCATTTTTTTATTATTATTGTTGTTTAATATTTCATTCAATGGTGTGTGGTAAACCGCTGTTTTATAGTAAACATTTGAAAAACTTAAATACATTTTTACTATAATTTTGTCCACTAGGGGGCAGCAATGATATCCACAAACATCAAAAATCTGTTTCCTGTTTCCCTGTGGGATGAATAAAGTATTTTTAATTGGTTTAGTTTGAGTTTATTTAGAAATTTGTTTCTCTGCTGATCAAATAAGGCAGAAATTCAGATCTTTTAAACTTTAGTAACATAATCTGGCAATGAATTATACACACAGATGGTTGTATTTAATTTAAATCCGTCTTTTTTCTCTCTCCAGGCTGTTTACAGTGTTACACCTGTGTGTTTCCTGCCATTTCTCCCATGGACTGCCTGAAGTTTCCTCTGGAGTGTCCTGCAGGCCAGCGCTGCCTGTCCAGTGTGGCGACAGGAAGACGAGGTCAGCGCCAGACGACGTCCCGTCAAAATAAAAGCCTTTAAGGGAATAGTTTGTCCCACTGTTATAAAAACATTTAGAGCTTGAAATCATTTGCGTGTCACATTTGATGTTTGATTTTGGATCTTCTTCTCTGCATCACTGGAAACCAGCAGAGATTGCTGTAACTGGTTTTCTCTGTAGAAACAAAAACAAAAGAATGACTCAACGCTCTGGAACTCAGATCCGTTTTTCATCAGGGAAACTGACAGCATAATTAAATGATCTAAAAATGACTGTAACCTCTGAAAATATCTAGGAGTGGCAAAGGACTCCCTGTGTTTCATCAGAGGTAAAAGGTCACAACTAGTGCTGACAGTTTACGATAACAGAATCACACTGATAACTTTCCTTATGGGCATCATTTTAAATTAAAATATCAATAAAAGTTGCTTGTTTTGTAATTTAACTAATTATTTTCAGTGCCACATTTAAGTAGAAAAAATACCAAGAAATTTGATGTGCGTGCTCTTGATCAAGCGTGTTCAAACTACGCTCCGGGGGCCATTTGCAGCCCATTAACTGATTTCATGTGGCCCTCCACCACCACAAGTCAAGAATAAATTAAATAAATTATGAAAAAACTATAACTTTTAAATTAAAACCTACTTACAAAAATGTTAGATACAACACAAAGTGATTATCTTTCTGGTTTCCTTTCATTTTCATGGTAAATAGAACCACATTTACGCAGTAACTTATACTTAATGCGGGTACACTTTGGTGCACCCAAATCTGCTTTTAATTGCTGTTGAAGTGTTTTGAAATTGAGATCTATATCCTGCTTTTGTTGCTGTGAATAGACTAAATATTTTTTCAGTTTTCTTCAATATAGTAAGCAAACTGGTTGCCTTTCAATTAAGAAGGAAAACGTACAAAAACAACTCAAGAAATATTAGCTGCTAGTTAGCTTCAGCCGTCTCAAAAATTAGCTACTGAAATATAATCGCTGAACACCACGAATTATTGTTTGCTTACATAAATATACGCGCTCATATAAGTTTCACTGCAATGGCAAAGAAATGCAGCTTTTCAGCAACATTATACAAAAATATGGGTGTTAATTCATTGAAAGTTGTTTAACAATTATTCTATGTGGCTATGGATTACCTACAACCATCTGCAGCATTTTCGCCACTAAATCCACGATTCGCTCTGTTTTTGCTTCGCCAGGCGCCGTTCAGCTGACGATATATGAGAAGAGTTGTGCCGTCCCGACGCAGTGCGGCTTGGCCGGACAGAAGTACACCTCGGGGGTGTACTTTAACTACAGCAACGACTGCTGTGACACGGATCTTTGCAACGCGGCCGGGTCTGTTGGAGCCCTCGGCCTGAGAGGAGCGCTGCTCTGCCTGCTGCCTGCACTCGGCCTCCTGCAGGTCTGAACAGAACCATCAGAACCACGGACCGCCTCTGCCTCCAAATGCCTCTTTAGGAAAGAATGACTGAGATGTCAAAGGAAAATTAAGTTTTAGCTCATTCCAAGTTGCACCATCAGTAATATTTGTTATCCAGCAGCTCCTCTAGAAGATAAAGTGGAATAAAAGTGGAAAACATTTCTATTGAAAAATGTTTATCTAGAAAGAGTGGTAGAAATAATTAAATGTAACTTTTCCTGACCTTTACCTTAAAATTTGTGTTCTTTCTGAACTCTTTAAGTCAAAATTATGAACTGAGGAGCATAAATTATAATTCATATTCTCCAAATCAAAATATCAGGGCTATAAGAAGAAATAAAAAATAAATTAACTAGAATAAGGTCACACCAGAATAATGACTTTATTCTTGGCGTAGTCCTAATTCTCCGTCATATCATGGTTAATAAATCCGTAATATAAATTGTGACAGCTAGCTAAGCAAAGTTGGTGGAATCAACTGACTCGCTCTTTGGTTGCCTAGCAACTCGCTCACAATTCTTTGGTTACCTAGCAACGACTTGCTAAGGAACTTGCAACACCAGTTTCAGGTTTTGCCTCATTACTGCTTAAAAGTAAACAACATGGATTGGAAACTGTGAATTAGAGGAAAAGTCACGACACCAGTTTGGCAGCATTTCAGGTATTTAAAATAAAAAAGCAAATAAATAATTATTGAAATACTGATATTAAATGCTCATGTTTTTCAGCCTTATTGTCCATCCCTATGTTGCACTGACTGGATTAAGGGCCAGCTGTTTAAAAAAGGTAAATAAATGAAAAGTCAGCTTATATAAACTAAAATATGCATAATGTGGCAGTGAGAGGAGTTTTAATTAGAAGCGTTTTCAGTTTTATGCTAGTAGTGGTGCTACAGATCATCTGATTTTTGACAAGTTTTACATGTGAAGTGTTTTTTTAAGTTCCTCTGAAGAGATTTAAAAGTCCTGCTTCTGTTTGGTTTTTTTTAAGCATCTATATAAAACCAGGTTTGTCAGATTGTTCTGTTAGTTCAGCTAACATTAATGTTCTGTTTGGTACCGATTCTGTTTCCCTAAGCAAAGCATTTTATACCAAACGATTTAGAATCAGTTCATTTCTCTTGGTTCTTTTACAAACATGGAGATAAGTGATAAAAGCCATCATATATTGAATTGTCATTATTATACAGAATCTTCATAGTTTTAGATTACATCACATTTACACTGGTTATTGTTTGAACCATTGAATTTGATTAAATCTCAGATTATGTCCTCTAATCTAACCAAATATAATTAAGCAACTTCCTTGTTGGTCAGTTATGTGAAGCATATTAACATATTCAGCAAACTACATAAAAAATTAATGTGTAATATCTGAGTACAAATTATGACATGTTCAGCAGAAACATCCTTCTCTGTTTTCTTTTTATGTGGACATTTCAATAAAACAATCCTCAAAACAAGCCAGAAATAAAAAAAGGATGCGTTTTATTATGAAGATACTTTTATTGGAACATTAATAAAAGTAAAATAAAAACGTTTCAGCTGTGAGTTTGATTGTCCTCACTGCTGCTTTGATCTGTTTAACTTCATGATGCCATTAGCATTAAGACAGAGTGAAAAATCACAACATCAATAACAAAACATGTGAAATGAAAAGCAGAAAATAAAAATCCGACATTTCCTGGTCCCTGAAATTCTTTCAAATATATATTAAGAAATGAGAGTTTCTGCTATGCTTGGACAAAAACACTAATGATGATTAACAGTGAAGTTATTCATATTTAATCCCTTTAAGCATTAGTCCATGTTAAAAATTAGATCAAATCCACATCAGTTCAACAAGCAAAACATTCTGTAATCAAACCCAAAGCCTTCATAAAATTTGGGTTTATTGAGATGAATTAACTCACAGCTGATTTCTAACACAATCCAACATGTGCAGGATTTTCTAATTGCACTTCGGTCATTTTTAGCAACACTAAAAAACTTCATATCATAACAGCCTCTGGAAATGTTAAACTGTGTTACCCTGAGGTCTTCTGGATGTGTTACTGCTTAACCAGACAAAGTGTGTTATTAGCTCCAGGTCCTTCCATTTCGATTTAATTCAAGATCGTTTTATAGGCAAGAAAACCTCGAAGAGTGAATTGAACCAACAGACAGAGTCACGACCGAGTCTCAGATCTCTTTGGATAAAAATAAGGCTAATGGTGGCATATTTATAATTTGTTATTTTGTCAGAAGAACTTCACACAACCAATAAAAATATACAAGTGATCTGTACTTTTATCAGGTGTTTGATATGTAACAGAGAAACGAACCCATGTTCTAAACAGATATTGTTTTAACTTAACTGCAGAAAAATGAAACAATAATAAAATCCCATACAGATGCGATCCTTCCACAGACTTTTTATAAACAGATTTGGTGGCTCATTTCTAATAAGTATTTCCAGCAACTTCAATAAATCCTATTTAACTGTGAAAACAACTCCACTGTCTCGTTATTCACGTCAACAAGGGCTGAGCCAGACCAAGGAATAAGCAAACTATGCAGTTGTCTGCGGCTCCACACCAACAGGGGGCTCCACAGAGCAGCTACGGTGCAAAGAGTTTCTTCTAATTGTTTCCATTAATAAGAGTATTTGTTATTAGGCTTAAACTAAAAATATACAACTTCTGAGCTCTAAAACTCAACTAGAAACAAAAGAAAAATGTTTTAATTAGGTATGGGCCACTGTGAAATTCTGACATTATGATAACCTTATGGAAAAGAATTACCACAATTTTATTGTAATGCAAAATTTAATTATACTACAAATTCTACTACTGCAAAAAAAATTTCAAGTATTAATTTAATTTTGATTCAGTTGATTTTAATTTAAAACAGGTGGTGGTTATAGTCTATTGAAGCAATCAAAGAGCTAACAACCTACATTTGTTTTTAACATTTCTTTTTATATTTTCTACAAAATTTCCTTTATATCTGTCTCTTTTATGATTCCTTTAAAGTGAAAAGTTAGCTTATGCTCATAGTCTCTCTTCCATTCATGTAATTATTAATTAGAAGCCCTGGAAGCGGATCACAAACAAGCCCACTAATCTTGACTAATCCCTCACGCTCGCTGTGGGAGCGCAGAAAGAGGAAGCCCGCATCTATTGAAACGGTTTCCTGTTGAGCCGCTTTCAGCGCCGGCTCGGTCTGGGCTGCTTTCCTCTGGTCCCTAACGAATGCAAATCTTTTCTGAATCATGATGTCTTACTATGAAAAGCGGTGTTTCCTCTGTGATAAAGTCTGTGGGAAACACCTGTGATTAAAACACAAAGTGACTCCATGGTATGCAAATATCACTTCCCTAAAACATGTCCAGAGACTAAAAGGGTTTAATCCGGATGTGTTGGAATAATTAATATTTAAAAAGAAAGAAAAATAAAGAGAGGGGAGAGATTAAACGACCGTGTGTCCATTTTGAAGTTGTAATCAGACACAAGAAAAGCTGCAGTATGTTTTTTTTCTCCTGTAGTACTAAAGTAAAAGTATTTAATGAGCTGAATATTGATTTTTTTGTTGGTGACTGATGCTAGCTAGCCAATTAGATGTGTTAGCTGGGTCGCTAATTAGCCTGCAGTTTACCGATGGACCAACTGTACCAATTGTAAATTGTTTAAAAATGCAACCCAAACCATCTTGTATGTATTTTTTTTATTAGTTGGAAACCTAAAAACTAATGTTGGACATGTTAGCAACTAAAGTAGCTAGCCTACTGTTATCTTTCCACCGAACGATAAAATAATACTTATAGCTTCTTGTGCTAAAATGCTTATTACAAATTATATACTACAACCGTCTGCTTTTTTGTGACCATAATAAAAAAATATTTCTTTTGTTTGTTTTTTTTACCCTGAAATGTTTTAGGTAAATTCTCCGTCATACACAGTTAAAACAAACAACAGGTAGAGAAGAAGTGTTGCAGATTTGTGTCAAGGTTTAGCTTTGCTTTTTAAATCAAAATCAAATTAGTAGTAAATATAGCACATACAGCTATAGTAGAGATAAATGTCACTTTTCTACTTTGAATAGAAATAATTAGACTATGTTTTGATATTTTGCTTTAAAGGTGACCTGTAATTCTTCATTGAACAATTTAGAATAAATCTATGGCTATAAGAAATATTTTTATTAATTTTTTTTGACAATGAGATTTTAGTTTGCTCACTTTTGGTATTTTGAGCTCCTTCCAGAAGGATCCGTTTTGGGGAATCTTGTTACTTTAAATCCAAATGAGCAATTATACATCCTTTCATCTTTGAAAAGCATTAGTAGAGCCTCCGGCACAACAAGAATGCAGCAAGTGGTGTCTAGATGATAAACAAACAGCAAAACACTTGTCTTTTCAAGCAGCCATTGTACAGTGAATACAGTGGTGAAACCAGCTGAGCAAACATGCCCCTAAGGTTGCTAGGTAACAGGCTGGACTTCACTGGGGTTGCTAGGTAACAGGCTGGGCAGTGTCAGCTGATTTGTTACATTACATTCTGGAGGTTTTCTGAAACAGAAAACTTTCCAAAAGACATCAACACACAGCCAAAACCCATCTGGTTGTTTTTTTAAGAGCTTGAGTTGATTTTGGAAGCAGTAGGTTAGTACAAAAACATATAAAAATGTTAATTTAGCATAACATGCCCACTTTAAATTCTTCTTTTAAACCCATACTATGTTATTTCTTAAAGGATTAGATTCTTGTACCAGCCTAGAGTTTAAGTAAAACATTGTTCTTCTGAGAATAGCAGCAAACAGTGGAATTAGGTGAGAGTGAGGGGACCCAAATTGTTATTTTGCCCGAATACCAAAGAAAAGCTTGAACGAGCTCTGATCTGAGGTCAAAGTTCAATGAGGCAGGTGAATAAAGGTAAACAAGAGAAAGGTTTTTGTTTAAAAAAAGGTGTGTGAAAATACAAGTCTTCCTGGAAGGAACATTTTGATTTAGTCCTGTACTATCTAGACCAGGGGTGTCCAATGTGCGGCCAGGGGGCCATTTGTGGCCCTGGGAATGAGTTTGTGTGTCCCCTGACTGCAGCTAAAAAAATGGTGCAAATTTGGGATGAGATGGACACTTTATTTTAGGGTGAGATTCCCATGGCAAGTTTATATTTTAAATGGAAAACACAAAGAATTTTTCTTTCAAAGTTTTTAAAAAGACAATTTACAGACCAACAAAATAGAAAATAAGTGGGTCAAAAAGTTAAATAAATGTAAACATTAAGGCAAATCTCATTCTAATGTTGGTTTTGATAAAAAAAATTAACTTGTTGAATTTATTGTTGCGCAGGTAAAGGAGAAAACATTCACAATAATATAATTTTTATGTTGTTTAATGGACGGAAAAAGCTCATTTTGGCCCTCAGTGGAAAAAGTTTGGACACCACTGATCTAGACTCTGCTGATGTAACCGATCCTGGCTGAAGTGGAGAATAAATACAAAGATCCACCTGTGGGTGTGTATTCTGTAAGGTAAACAAAGCTTAAAGGAAACTCCCATCGGCCGATTGTTTGCAGAGTAAATATCTGATTACTGATGTCTGTGTGGATTTATTATTTTTTACTTTAACATGGCCTATTGCCATCCTACTTGAGAGCTTTCGCTACAGTCGAATACGCCATGAGGATCTCCGTGTCGACAGGACAGGTGGCGCTAAACTCTTCCCTGGCGTACGCTGCGTTCAGGTACCTCCAGACGTTAGTCAGAGACTCTGGGATGGTGAAGTTTCTGTACTTCAAACTCACCACCTGGAGGTAAAAAAATAAAAATAAAAAGGATCCGTTTGAGTGGCAGGGATTAGGAAAACCGAGGTGAGGATAAACGTCGCACACTGAGAAGATTACCTTCAAGATGTGCAGCTTTGGCAGCAAGTTGCAGTCCGCCAGGGTGAGCTGCTGGCCGTCCAGAAAGGGGCGTGACGAGGAAGTGGCCTCTTCGGCGGCGTCCTGGTCGATCTCGTCAGGAAGTGGGGAGCCGAGGTAGTTGTCCAGCTTCTGCAGAGCCTTCATGAGGCCTTTCTCTAGATCTGAGAGCGAACACAGACACAAAGAGTAAGCGGGGAGATTAAGAGGAAGTACGCCGTTCACGCTGACGTAGCGCTGCTAAAACTGTAATGTTATTAACAGAAACTCCCTCCCTGCTGGGTTTTGGTTTGGTTTTTTAGCCTAAGATTAACATGGTGACTTCAGCGTTTTGCTTTCCTGTGACGACGTCATCATCATTTTTGATGCTTACTGTCATTCATCTGAGGGTTTGAGTTCTTGATGTAAGCAGAGAACTTGGAGAAGATGTCGACTCCTGCTGTGTTGGACTCTGGATTACGAGCCGCCAGACGGGGATATCTGGAAAAACAGATGGTTGGTTGCATTTAAAAAACAACAAAATAAAAACTCAAAACAAATGGTTAAAAAAAAGAGCTAAGCTGCAGGAACAGCTTCATAATAATTTATTTGAATCAATTGAGACATGTCTGCAGTTTTAAGATTTCTTCTAATTTCTTATGATTTTGTTTCATTTCTTTCTTCTACTTTTTTTTTCAGGATTTCTGGTGATGATTCCAAGTTTTTCAGCTGTATTTTTTATTAATCCGAGGCTAATCATGACTAATTAATCAATTAATCGCATGATAAATTAAAATAAGGTTGATTATTAAAATTTTTTAATGGGTAATTTTGTCATAAACAATTCAGTTATTTGTGGATTTTATTTATTGTTTTGGTTGTTTTATTTTGGAAATTGGAAATGTGGAGTGTTCTGCACAAAATTAAAGTTTCTTTGTCTCCTTAGAAGACAGATTTGCCTTATTATGTCTTTATCAATACATTATTAGAAAATGATCTCAAAACAACAATATAATTGTTTATCACAATTTCTGGGACAATTTATCATCCACTAACATTTCTAATTGTGACTGGTCTAGGTGTACATGCATTATTATGCCATATATTACTTGAAATGGTCTCAAAACATCAATATTATTGTTTATAACATATAGTTTCAGCAAAAAATAGTAACAGTTCCAGGTCTAAAATGGTATTATTAATCTTTGAAAACAATAAAATAGCTTCCGAAAGCTTAAAACATGCTATTCATCAGTTAAAATATTAATAGTGAGTCTATACGAAGCATGACTTAAGATCTGGGCAATATAACCAGGATCTGTCTGAAATGATCACTTTATGTCATTTCAGCTCAAACATTCAGAACAAAATTACATCCTAACAGAACAAGTGAAGGTTAGAGGTTACTTAGGAGGGCAGAGCGTCGACTCGATGAACTCCTCGATTTTGTTGGTGTCGGTTTTCACCTCGCTGCCGTACTGCAGGAAGGGAGGCTGAGCTCCAGGAGCCAGATCATTCAGGATGTCTGGTTTCCTGAGAGGAAGAAGAAAAACCAACAGCTGAACAAAACGTACACAGTGACTCCATAACTTAATGCTCTGCTTTCTTATTTCACACTACTGGGTGATTGGACGAATTTATCGACCATCAACAATAAGTCAATAAGCTGTGACCTTCGCCAGTAATTTTTATGAGACTGATTTTATTTTTCTCTTTGGCCTATGAGTTACACTGCAAAAACACAAAATATTGCCAAGTATTTTGGGTTTAGTTTCTAGTGTACTTGAA